GGATACACATTCAGAACAGTTGGCTTTGTCAGTTGGCTGATGTCAATGCGCTCACAGCTTCGCCCTGGACGTCTACCAAAGCGCATCCGCAGGTCAGCACATACAAGTGCATGATCGGTGTCCACACATGTGCTCCAAATCGAGCGACAGTTCTGGATGCAGCCTCTTCAGCGATAACTGATTGCCATGTGATCGATTTGCGTCCAAGTCTGGTTCGAGGCTGGTGGGCGCCAAGTCAGCCTCTGGCGGGTGCTGTGTCGGAAATTAGTGCTCGCAAGAAATAAGCGAGCATCTTCACACAAATGCAGTAACCGCTCACCGTTATCATTACGAGAGCCTACACCATGTTGGCCGCCCAGATGCATTTCATCAGTGGATGACCTTCTAACTTGAGCGTTCAGATCTCCAACCAGTACAACAATGTCTGAGCTTCTTCTGTGGCGAAGGAGCTGGGTCAGTTGGCGGTAGAAGTCGTTCTTTACCGGATCATCGCTACAGTTTGTGGGCGCGTAGTCAGCGATGATGAATAGGCACCTGTTTGTCCCGCGCGACTTCGAAGCTTTGAACAAGCCAGGCAATCGGACCGCACACATCCGGCTACTGATTGGAATCCAATCAACCAGAGCAGCTTCAGCCCGGGGACTCAGGGCAATGCCAACACCGGCTTAGCCGGTGCTCGAAGCTGCATCGTCACCGGATAGGCGCAACGAGAAATTGCTGCTGGTATCACCTGCAGGGGATCGCAGAGTGAGCACAGAGCTCGAGTCTTGAAGGCGAGTCTCCGATAAGCAGCAGATATCGATCGAGAGGGTCTCTAATGTTCGGTCGAGTGCTGCCTGTTGACCGATTTGTAGCAATGTGCGTACATTGAGGTATGCCAATCTGAAGGAGGATCGAGAGCTCCAAATGGGAGTCTATTAGCTGGGCTTGGCCGTTTGGTTGGACATGGGCTTGTCGACAGGACAGGAATGACGCTCCGCGTTCACATGTGAGTTGTAATTAGAAGATAAATGGCTAGCAAAGCATGTTTGGGGAGGGCCACGAATCGGGGGGTTGAAAACTGGGGGATATAAGTGAAGCTGGAACGGGACGATGTGGGTGAAAAAGCGTAAGAGGGGGATAAGAAGACGGGAAGGCTTGAGCAGTAGCATCCAAACTCCTATCCACCCTGTTCGATGCTGCCGATAGGGCACCGTTGATTATCGTCTGCTATGGCTAGAGCATCAAGAATTTGTTTAAGGAAAGATTCATTGTATTGCGTGGGCAGGATACTGTCAGGTTGCCCAGGCCTAGACAGGATAACGATTAGGGTTCTCAACCAAAGCCTTTGGTTCAAAAACCTGACCGCAAGGCAGCGGGTTTGGCGTTGGGCTACAAGGAGTCCGTTTTAAGGAATAAGATACCACCCTCATTGCAACCCCCAACGTGGAGGACCAGGAGGCTGAGTTTGTCTGGCCTCTAACCATTGATCAATCAGGTATCCGTGACTCTGAAGGTGCAAAGGCACCACCCAGCATACTTCAGTGGATCGCTGGGCACACAAACCATCGCACCATGGTAAGGTCCAGCCTCATTGCGATAGATTTACGAGAATATATGTACAGTATGGTCCACACCAATTTGTGATCAGTGCCACACTTAGCTCCACGCAGTACACATGTCATGCGCACTTCACGCATGTCACGGTGACGTCTGATGACATAGTCGAGCACGTGAGCGTGACCACTCCGTGGGTGCGTCCAAGTTGCTATGTCACTTGCACTCATTGCAAACCGACTGTTTGTGATCGTCAGACCGTGAGTGGCACAGTGAGAGCAGCCTGTCACCGTTCGCACTCGCTGAACCAATTCCATGTGGACCGATGAAATCTGTCCACAAAGATGCATCGCGCCCAACGCGCGAGTTCAACTCATCCAGCGGAAATAGTCGGTCGCTCCTCGGCACAGACCGTATAACGGAGGATAGCTGAGTGTATGATTGAGCACACGTCATAAGGATAACACTTTGTCGGACATGTCGGACGTGCTGATAAAAATGGTAAACTTACCTCTTCTGAGTCGTAGACGAATAGTCATCAGTCGCGCGCTGATGCCTGTCGGCTCACTCACCAGCTGTCCATTGAGGTGATCGGACAGTGCATATCCGACCCCCATGTTCAAATAGTGCTAAGGTGGCGTTTCCTACCCAGTAAAACACAGCCAGCTCCAGCTTCATGAAACTTACCTTGCTTAGCGAGCCGGGTCTCACTGAGCGCCGCAATATCAATGTGATAGCGCGCCAGTTCCATCGCGACCAGTGCAGTACGTCGCTCCGGGCGCTCGCTGGAGTTCCGGTCCAGTAGTGTGCGCACGTTCCAGCACCCGATATTGAGTGCTTTGCGCACAGACATACGATTGCATTGGTGGGCTATCGCGCGCGTGGTTGTGATTGTGCTTCGGAGGTTTGCTTGAGGGACTCCTCCTGGAGCCTTTGACGCAATAGCCTGACCCACAAGACAGTTGGGAGTAGATCTAGTTCGGGAGTATAATTGCAGTCCCATTTTGATCTGCTTGAGGTCCGTCACACGCAGCCTTCGAGGGTCTGGAACGATTCATATGTCAAAAATCCATTTTGCGAAGAAGCGCTTTCTTTTCGATAACTCTCATCAAGCATTACATTTAAAAGAAAGTGTAAATAAATTCACTATGCTAGTGAAAGCGGAACTAAGGTTAATACTGGTTGTTTAAACATTGCTAATAAAATCAATCAAAATTAATGTAGATTCACTTCGGTCAAGTCTCGTGACCGCCAGCGGGGTGAGGATCACACTCTGCCTTCAGCGTCCAACGCGGGAGAATTGCCACGGGGCCATAGTAATACTATGGCTTGCACAAAAGCTGTGTTGTGGTGCCGCTGATTGTACGGCTGACCTTCTGCTACCGTGCAGCAGACCGTTACCAGAAATGGAGTGCCAGTGTTCGAATGAAAGTCTCGATCATACGCAGCTGTGAGGCATCGAATTGTTGTTGCTGTTGAGGCAAAATAGCTCCCAGCTCTTCTGTTGAGATAGCCATCTTGAATCAGTACCCCACCACCGTCGTCAGAAATCTGTTGTGGTAGCGCTGATTGTACGGCCAACCTGCTGCTACCGTGCAGCTGACCGTTGACAGAAATGTGATGTGGTTTCCGCTGACTTTACGGATAACCAACCTGAATCTGCTGTGCCGTCCCCAACCAGTTCAATCCCGTACGAAATGAGAACACCAAGACCAGGCGGTCCGAGGGATCCGGATTCTGATTCGTATTGTGCGAGAGCATGGCGCAATAAATAGGCTGCGGGCAACTATTAACACAACAATATTGGAGATGCTAATTAGTATTAATTAACACAACTCCAACGTATCAAGTTCATGGTCTAACCTACCGTTGATTCCACATAGACTCGCGTGTTGATCTTTACTCGAGTTCGATCTCCAATTGTAGATCGATCCATTCTTGCGCCACGCTTCTCGGCTTGCGCGCTGGCTCTCCGTAACACGCCTCACGCAAAATGGTGCACGACTTCCGTCATGGGTCCAGGTGCATTCTGATAACGTGTCCACACCCGATCAGTGCATTCTCGTGGCTGCAACTTCGTTTCTCTTTGTGGTCACTGGTCAAAGCACATTAGGTCCTTCCTGGGTCCCAAAGGACGGAGCAGTGTTGAGGATGAAGACAGGCCTGGGAGGCCTACAGAAGTGAGGTCTCCTGAGGTGATCGAATCAGTCAATGACCTCATTCAGTCGGACAGAAGGGTGACAGTGGATGACATTGCAAGGACTATGAGCTTATCTGTTAGGGCGGCACACAAATTGTCCATGTCATCCACTGTCACCCTTCTGTCCGACTGAATGAGGTCATTGACTGATTCGATCACCTCAGGAGACCCCATTTCTGTAGGCCTCCCATGCCTGTCCTCATCCTCAACACTGCTCCGTCCTTCTTTAAACAATTTTGCCCACTTGTAGACATTTTTCGGCTGAAACATGTGGCACCATACACAATTGGCATTTTCCTATGAATTTCAACTGGTTTGCACTCTTCCGAAACCAAAAACTTGATAACTGATCGCTGTTCAATCCTGGAGCATGCTTTTTGGTCGGCCATCTTTGTTAATCGCTACAACTCTCAAAGTTTTTTTCAATCTGCAAAAGAAATTACATCCATGTGAAAAAGAAGTAAAACAACAAAAATAAACAAAAGTAAGCTTCTATCTGTATTAGAAGTCCTTATACCGAAAAATTCACCTTATTTATTGAATGGCCCTCGTATATATGCTGTGCCTCATACTGAGGTTGATGTCGCGTACATCATACTTCTTCACCGCAGTTGGGCTACACCGATTTACACTTAAACTCGTTCTTAATTTGGATGAAGTATTACATTTTATTTGATCTGCTCGGTTTTGTTATTCGGCTGCATGTTCCGTGTCAGTTGCGTGTTCATTTTGGCTACACTTGCTGTCTCTCTCGATTAAACTGGCTCCAGGAGATTATATCTTTGCTGGGGGGACGGAGTGCGCGCTCCTTTTGAATTTGCTAGGCTCAGAGTGGTTTCATACATCCAGTCTGGAGCCGACTACGGTCCAGACACCGCCTTGTGCAAGTCTGGTACGCATGACTCCGAAATCAGGTAGACAGGAATGCTGCTGCTGTGCTTGATGAAGAGGCGTGGGCCGGCTCCGTTGATGTATCTTATCTCCCATCCACATGACTCCAGTTCTTATCCCTTCTGGTTTACACTAGATATGGGATGTGTGGATGGGGCTGTAGGTGGTGCAACGCAAGCCACTCTTGGTCCCTCTGTAGGCATAGGCGTCCTGTAGCTGTCCTATGAAGACCGCAGTGACGGGCATCTTCGAAACCGGATGCCGTCAGCCATGTTCTTCATGACGATTTCCTTCCCCGTAATTTTTGGTTTAATGCGTATTTTTGTTTTATTAGCTAGTATCATGTTACCAGATACTTGTATTTGTTTCTTAGCTTTTGTCTTTTCGGAATTTTTCGCTCGCCCTGGATAACCATTTGATAATCATATGTCCATATCCATACCAATTGAAACGTTTCAATCGAGATATCGATGCTGCAACTGCTTGCACGTGAGGACAGGCACTTTACTTTTGGCCATTTTTCAAATCATCATACACTTTGTCGTTATTGCTATCCTCACTGCTGCTTTGGGGCGATCAACACGCCTCCGTGACGATGTTGAATATGTCGCGCTCAGCGTTAGCGTCATGTCCTTTATCCAATGGGAACGATTTACTGCCGAACCCATAAATCCACCGACTTTCCGGAAGGTGATCACCACGCCTGATCCTTTGCATCCCTTACCTGCTGAGCATGCGATCGAAGGTAAATAATCCGGTATATAATCCAACGTATTCACCATTCTGCAGCATCCGTCCAATCCACAACTGTGAGACCAGGTCAGTACACGAGGACCGTCAAATTTTTCATGAACGCCGGAGAGGAATATGTGGCTATTGCAGTGACATTGCTTTCTCTCTTGTTCAGCATCATGATGCTCATCGGCACCATCTACTGCAGACCTTACTACTTACTCCCATACTGTTGTGTTCAAGTAAGGTGGCCGTTTCGCACTCGGATCTTAAATCACATAGTTCTTAGATCTTTTCGTTACCTCATTATCAGTGGTCGGCTATTATACCTACTTGCCAGAAACCGGGGCGTTGACTAGACCCAGAGTGAGTGTCTGCACCTGATCTTCCATTACTCTATCCATTACAAGTGCGTCATGTGCCCATGCATCTTAGCAGTTGGCTCTTCACACCAGTTGCTCCAAAGGTATAACTTTATATCCTGGTTGCCTATATTACATCATCTGCTCAGGTATGGGTTGCACGACTGCAGTTCCTTCGAACTTATACGTAAATTTAACGTCTTTTGATAGTTTAAGCCATAAATAATAGAATGGTTTTCACTTATTAAAGTCTCCCATTGTTTAATAGAGTTGCGCCTTCAGCTCATCCCGGTTTTACTTCAGTTGCACAACTGATCCGGGCACCGAAGTGCGGTGGATCCAGTTGCCACGATTCATATCGCCAGAATAACAACGTTAATAAAATGCAGATGGACGCTAACAGAATACAAAGCAAATGGATCAAGTACTACGTTAAACTAATCGAGGTGGAGTGAAAATTGACAGCTAGAAGCAATAAACCTAGTGCAAGGGCGCCATGTACGGTAGAGTCTTTAACCACTGGTGTGGACTATCTCAGGAGCCCAATCCACGAGGGTGACACGCATTAGCCTGAACAAGTTTCCCAACCAATTTCTTCCTGCTCTTATGCTGCGTCCTCGGCTAGCCACTTCGCTCAACCATGTTCAGCGACGGCTTATAATGCAAGCCAAGGAAGCCGGTGAACGGGCATACGGAGGACATGGCCTAGCCAACAAACACTCGAGTGAGGTACTAAAAGGCTTCTTGCCAAAGACCAACTAGCGGACTTCAGCATCGCTCACTCGGTGTTCCCACCAGACGTGAGCAATACTCCGCTAGTACTGGTGATGAAACAGGACAAAGCGTTTAATGTCTTCGCCGCGAAGTGGCCAGGTCTCTGATCCATACAGACCAGCCTTATCACAGCGTTTTACACCCTACCTTTCACTAACAAGCTCGTATCCCGCCTTCTCCATAGGTGGTTGAGCCTCTGGAAAGCCACATGTACCTTGCTAATACTCAGTTGCCTCTTCATCCGCATGCCGTTTTGTATAGATCATGGTGCATAGGCAACCACTTCTGGAGATGTGGAGCTTCGCGGATTTCAAGCCAGTGTTCATTGCAATCGGAACAGCCGGCCGTAATGGCTAGTTGCGTGACAGTCGCAGACCCCATTTGACCCCGTGAATCAGTGAGGAACCATTTAGCCGGAGGCGGTCTTTCATGCTTAATTGCTGTTTTCCAATTACACGTAGCATGTTCGTATAGCTAAGCCGCAACAGCTTCAGGGACCTTCAGTATCAATCCACAGCCATCTCTCAACTGATGGTTGAGCACTAAGCTGATCGACACTCGACAAGCGTCCGATTACTATGCCTGACGATCGTAGGAACTACAAAAACACGCCGTTTCGGACCAGTTTTGCTAATCAGTTAAAATGGAAGTACCGACGTTTTGTATTCCTAATCGCCATGACTCACGTCATTTTGCGGAAAAAATGGTTAATAAATTTAGTTAGGACAAAGGGGGAGAGAAAAACGCGGGGGACTAAGTACCGTTTCAGCTGCACTAACGGAGACTAGTGTATGGCTGCCAAAATCAGCCCATTTATTGTCATCATGAGTCTGCGATACTTCTGGTGCTATATAATAATAATAATAATAATAATAATAATAATAATAATAATGTGTCAGCTGTACGCCGTAACGGCGCTTCGCTGCCTCGCGACCACCACCAATCGCGCTCGGGCTGAGTATACCGCGAGGACGCCCACCCCTACGCGAATTCGAGCCGGTAACCGTATAGTTGCAAACCAAACGTGCAGACCACTCGGCAACCGGCCGAGTTTCTGTTTCCAAAACAGTAGTGACGGCCGTTTCCCTGTATGAGAGTGAAACGATTTCTCTTGTTTTGTGGGGTTTTCAAGTTGTTGACCATTGTTACTTGCGTGACATTGCTGGTGTCGAATGGCACAGTCATAGTCCTAATGACGAGTCATACAAATAAGCGATAACTGTGGGACAATTTCCATGGACCTACAAATGAAACTGAACAGTTTGAGTTTGCATGAGAAACGGTTACGTATGGCCGCCGCCGCATGCCGAGAAGGACCCTCTTTAATTACCTGGTCTGGATGACGCAAAATGACGCCACCTTCTTACGTCTTGCTGCCACGCAAACACCAACGGTTACATGCATGCTCAGACGCTGCACCTCTGCAGATTCGAGCCGGTAACTTGTGGGTGAATCCTAAACCACTCCGTCACTGATCGAACATTCATCTAGGTTAAGCTTGAGTAAGGGTCTTGGCAATCGTTAGTTGGTGTTGGGGACTGAATTCACTGAACGCTACCCTGGGTGTCGTTAGTCCATCTTGCCTTCCGGACTGAATTCCACGCGACACACCTCTAGTTTGATTTGAAATATATTGGGAGACAGTCCCCAACCGGGTACCACGTGGCATCAGCAAGATGTAAACGCTTTGATGTTGAATGCTCCTTTAAGGAATTTAGGTCTTTCATCGGGCTACTGTTTCCCTCTCATTTTTGTTTCTCGTCGGCAGAGTCATTACGGTTTTGATTCCTCGAAGCGTATATACAATCACATTCATTATTGTTGCTTCCGAGTTAAATGGATTCACCCCATTTTGCTGCCGTCGTTTAATTGGGCTGAGTGGCGCTGATAGCTCAACCAGAGTAACAAATAAAGAGAAGAAACTGTTGCCCATTCTCGATTATCCATGTTGCTCTCTTTAAAGTGATTTAGTGGCCATCACTACCGAATTACATCAGAACAAGTTCGTCTATTATAAGAGTAACACTGGTACGCCCGCACTTTGTACTCTCATCTATTTCCCATTGTAACCGCAAACGTTGTATGGAATCTTGGATAATTCCAGACGGCCTAAACGTAGTCAGGAGTAAGGTCTCAAACCAAGGGATCAAACGTTGCGACCTAGCCACTTGATACCTTATCACTTAGAGGCGCTAGACTGGTTGTGTTGGTATGGGATCGGGACATCTCTCCAAGATGTTCGAGAATCCACGTAGTAACGATGCGTAGGGAGCTTATTCTTACGTCTAGCGTTACTTGATTTTGACTTCCTTTCATTGTCGGTTTCCGTTCACCTGCCTCGTTTCTGTTGCTACGCCTACTACAGCATTCGACACGCACACATGTGTGCCTGTGTTTAGAATAATCAGATTGATCTTTTAAAAAATTAATGCTTCGCTAGCAATCCTTTGAGGAATTGATACTCACTGGTGCATACCCGTAGTGGTCTGGGGGAACCGGACCGAAACCCGTCAATACGCTTACTTCCAGTGTTACTGCTTTTGTGTATGATCGCTAGTCATATAACTGTGACAGATTCCACATCAATCGCGATCTGTCATATAAACTCGAAACTCGCCTGACTTTGCGCACTGTAACAAGGTGAAGACATCCTTACAAATAGACTACATTCTCAATACCTACCAATTATTTTCCAGAGCAGGCTGTTTGCTCCGAGCTAAGCAGTATTGATCCCTTCCTTTATCATCCACCGGCTATCCCATTTACTCTTTTAGTTGGCGCTTAGCATTGTGGTCATCTTGGCGGGAATCTTGCTTCTTGGATTGAAAGCTTATATGCTGGGTATTGTGTGGCTTTGTTACAAATTCCTGCTGCGGTTATCGGCCGGTTTAGAGCAAGGAACCGGTTTTTCATTTGCTGCCGGATCCCTTCCACTATCCAACTCCCTGTGCCGCCGACTTGGTCTAAACCACTACGTCACCGATTCGCGTCCGCCAACGCATTCACCTCCCGGAGACCGTGGCCTTCTCTCCGCATCTTTAACCGGCCGATCCCGTCCAAGTAAGTGTCTACACTTCCTTCGTTGTATGCTTCTTCTGGTTCATTTGCCCACCTTGTAAGCCACTTGTTCCCATAGTCTCCCGTCTGTCATTAAGTTTCCAAGTTGACTCGACTCTATACAGCCACTGGCGTTGCTCGTTATCCTTATGGGCCGCGTGTTGTGCATGCCAGCCCACCGACTCCCGCGATGTGCGTTGTTTGCGTGGATGGAAGAAGAGGAGGAGTGGCTAAACGATGATTTAATCAAAAGGAACAAAGGCTCATACTTCGAAGTTGGCCTCGGTTGCAGCCTTTCGGCTCTCTTGTTGCAGACCGAAGGACAGTGAACACGTTTGTCTGAATACACTTGTTGACATGGCCAGTACCGGACACCACTGGCGTTAGTGTTTTGAGTGTTTTGTCCCCCTCCCTCCCGTTTAGCCTCCTCCTCCAACCACGATCTCATATAATAAGCATAATATAACTCCTTTTTTCGGCAAAATAGCCAGCTGTTAGCTCTTCGGAACAATGTCCATTCGTTACTAGTGACTCAGCCGGCGTGCCTCATGTTTTTTCTTTTCTTTTACAATGCGGCACAATAGCTGAAGTGTTTTCCACCTGTAGCTAACGTGTATAATGAATGAATGATGGGGCCACTGCCACTGAATGGGTGCTTCGAGATGGGACACACCATTGGCTAGTGCTCGTGTCTCTCTGCTTGTCTTGTGTTCAGACACTGGCCATTGGATCATGGCTTTACAGTGGCGAATTGAGATGGTTAGGCATAGTGACCTAGATGAACTAACCGAAAAGCCTAGTTGGGCCGATGCACAACTCCTCGCGGCCTGCTACTGCTTTGTTTGGAGACCTTATTCGAAATATATATATATATATATATATATATATATATATATATATATATATATATATATATATATATATATATATATATAACAGCCTACGAATAGGCATGGAGCGATCGAAAACCATGGAGCTCAAAGGAAGGTACAGATATCGTTAAAAAAACGCAACGCAACACGGATGAGTCCATGGTTTCGTGAGGGTGAGGTACTACCTGATTGCCCAAGCCGAGATAGGATGTTGACTTAGGGAACACCACCCCGAGTCTTTGGTCGAATGGACTGCCCGCAAGGCAGCAGAGCGGATTCAGGGATTCGCGCCCATTGAAAACCGGTAACTGATTGTCCAGTTCATACGCCTTTCGTTTTGTTCGTTTGCCAAGCAGGGGCCCAATGCTTCGCACAATTTCAGTAGTAAGTTGTTGGAATACAATGCTTCACAAGTATGAAGCAAGGAATAGTGACTTTATTTAGTGGCGAGTCATCCGCTACGTCACGGTGTTGTTAAACGGACATGTATGGCTTTTTATAGGGAGATCGCTTGCCAGGCGAAAACCCACCACGTCCTGGAACACTGCCGCTGAACTATTTACTGGAACGAAATAATCCCGAACCACCCAGCTGGCACCACGAGGAGGTTGTTCAGCAAGCCAGCCCGGGGTGCTCCGTGTACCTTCAAATGCCTGATGCTGCTCTTGTTGGATGGTTTGGAGAACATGACTATGATATTGTGTTATGTACCCAAACAAAGGCAGGTCGCTGTACTCATTTCCAGACAACCTCGGAACCGGATTCAGCTGTGGGGTCTCGGTATAAACAGGCTGATACACGGCCTTTAAGACGGAAGGAAGCTTCCTTCTGTCGCCAAAGATGCCGCAGGTTCAAGAAGGCAGCTCTGACCTTTGCTATGCGTGAGCTGGCGTCAGTTTCTATGCGCCCACCGTTGCTGATACAGCTGCTAAGGTAACTTAATCGATCAACCACCTCGGGTTCCTCGTTAGCAAGGGTCAAGGGGTCATCAAATGGCTGGTGGTCCTGCAGCAACACTTTGCACTTTGAAGGTGCAAAGCGCATACCAAATAATGGGACCACTCTAGACAGGCTATCCAGGGTTGATTGTGCCGACGCAACATCGTCGAAAAGCAAGACGATATCGTCCGCATAATCAAGACCAACTAACCTTTTACCAAGCAGGACCTCAACGCCTACATGGTGAGATTCCGCAAGAGAACACTCCATGATAGAATCCACAACGAAATTGAACAGAAATAGGGAAATCGGACAACGCTGACGAACGCCACTTGTGGTCGGAAAGCTATCCGATAGGCCACTGCAGACCCTGACACGGCCTGTAGTGTCCAGGTACAGAGCACTTAGGATGTTCACATATTTCTTGGGAACACCTTTCCGTGCAAGTATTTCGAGGAGAATGCACCGATCGACTGAATCGAACGCACTCTTGAAATCGAGGAACACAGCTATTGTCGGTCTGCGGTATGCGTGGCGTTGCTAAGGCACCTGCCGCAAAGTGAATATATGGTCTACACAACCACGTCCTGGACGGAAAGCTGCCTGCTCTTCCCTAATCCGAGATTCCCGTTGCACAGTGAGGCGGCGAATGAGAACCGAAACCAGTAGTTTTGTCACAACTGGCGTTAGGCTAATATTCCTGTGGTTAGAACAGTCTGTGCGACTGCCCTTCTTGTATATTGCCACTATAATCAATTCGCTCCAATTGTCACTTTTAGGCCACATGGCTTGATGAACTAAGACCGCGGCCCAAAATATGTCGATGACTCGAGGCACTTCAGTTTTGAACCTCAATGTACACTCAAGGCGTTCTTGGACCGCAGCAAATTCGTCAGGATATTCAACAGCTTGGTCTTACCCTTGTACGAACTACTGAGACGTGATAAAGACAATCATTTCGACTTCAGAACTTTAGCAGGCCTTTACTTGCATTCGGCAAGAACTAGGAAAATAAGCTAACCCTGAAGTTGCCGAATGCCGGGGAGTTAGTGACGTCAGAGCAGTCTTGAAGCAAAGCATGGGACGATTGTATACGGCAGATGGATTTCGACACCAGCCCAATGCAATTACTTGACAGTAGAGAAGGAGTGTCTCGCCGTGGCCTGCGCGTCGAACAAATGGCGATCATGCCTGCTAGCTCGGCAGTTCCCGGTCGAAACGTATCACAAGTCTTTGGGATGAATTAACTCCGCCAAAGACTCCAGAGGAAAGTTGGGCGCAATGATTGCTGCGCATCCAAGAATATGACTTCACGAGAAACCAAGCACCGCAGAAAGAAGACCGAACGGCGGATTTTTTGCCCCATATGTTGAACGAAGATGACCTGCAGAGCATGGCCTCTGGCATCAATGGACTAGGGTCTGGGACAGATGGCGCCCAAACAGCGTGGTTACAAACTATTGCGCAAAGAGATCACAGCACGAGTAACACGTCAATCGCTCGTAAACAAAAGTCAAACCAAATAGCTTGGACCATTTATAAGAAATTTAGAAAAGCCGCGAGTAAGTGAGGCTGGAATCTGGATGTGGATGCCAGAAGTTAGCAACGCTTCAGTATCCGTCATTCCGACGAAAAGAAGGCTGAAGTTGATGATTTCTTGTCACGAAGTTGCACACATTGCTTGCACCAGGACCTACGATTTTCTGAGGCAACGCGCCTACTGGCCAGAAGTGAAGAAAGACGTTAATAAATACGTGTTTTTTGTATAAACAGCGTTAACTCTTGCAAATGGATAGTTGAGGAACACATCAGTCAGCGCTGCCTGTTCAGGTGTCCGAAATTGGTAACCTATGCTCGAGCGGCATGATGGGACCGTTCCTTTTAACTAAACCGGGTAATCAATGTTGATGACCGAACACCTCACCTGTTGAATTATAGCACTGAGAATCCTGAATCAATGGACGAACACCAACCCGTGGTGTCGTAAGATATATGATGGCGAACCATGAAGTCCCGACGGCTATATCAAACTCAGTAACCGGAATGTGCTAACAATCCCATAACATCCGCAGACGAAATACTTTATTGGCTAGCAGGAAGAGGCTTTGGTTTTGCTGGTTCATCGAGAGCCCAAACAATCAGCCACAAAAATTCGCCGTCTCAGTTGATGTACTGTTGAAATCCTCGATTCCCCTTTGATCTGTAAGTTGGATTGTTGTCAGCCCGTGGAATGCCTCCGGTAAGCGACTGCGCCTGTAAGCCTCGAACGAACGCAGTTCTACCGGAATCAAAACAACTAGACCGAAACTGGATAACGGTCCTGTTTACTAGAAATTGGAAACACCAAATGTACAAAACTTCAAAAATACGTGCTTCCGGCGCAGGCGTATCAACAACCAATTCACTCCAAATAGTCAACGAATGTGGCTTCAAGTCACGAGTATGTAAAAACTAGCGACGTCGCAATACGCCTGCGGTTTGCACTGGACAGTGAATTAATGACCAATCAAAGGAATGCTACGCAGATTCTTGGGTGTTGGCTTCTGCGTACTACGCACGGTGACGGTCAGACATTGTAAGTGTGCACTAGTATATAGAGAGGGGCAACAGAAACAATAAGCTGCACGAAGGAAATGGTTTCTAGGCGTGACCTCCATATACGTCAACCTTGCAATTGTGTGACGTCATTAGCAATGGGATGTTACGTGAGCAGCGCGCAAGCGCGTCTATGTAACAATATATATATATATACATATATATATATATTACCAACTGTTTATACAATAAACAGAGTCATCTAAGACCATGGAAAAATGTGCATAATAAATACAAAGATCGAAAAGGAAAAATGTACAAAGCAAAATATTGTTTTTCACACGCCGTTTTATCTTTTTTGTCAGTCTAGTGCTTACGACGTTGATCAGTCGAATCATTGCATAGACTCATGTAAATCTTCCACCGTCCCCGATTACACATCATATCTTCAAGAGCTTTCACCTAGCGAAGTTCTCCATCTTTGACTTCCCAGCTCGGAAGATGTACGGGATCGACAACAGCTACACCGCTAGTCATCGCCTTGACGTTTTGTCGTCATGTAGTAGGTTGACCACCGCGCGAATTCTTCCAGTGCGGCCCTACGCGACCGAATAGAGTGCGCTACAGTAAATGTTCGTACGGCTTGCGCAGGACTTGACCTAGCCATCTCAGTTGGAGCGACGGTAGTAGCTCGTCAAAAGGAAGACTCGTATTACCTATGACGCGGCGTCTAACATCGTCGTTGCAAACGTGGTGTTCTCACCACATACCAATGAACTGAGGAATTAAGAAGAGAAGCCACTACGTCCAGCGATTAGTCCCAAAGGTCAGAGAGGCTCAATGCAAAGGCACAAACGCTGGAGGAGTGCGATTCTCCAACAGTATGTACTACTGCGCCAGCAATCAGTAGTATGGTAGTAGTAATCAAACCAGGCAGTAATTGGTAAATAACGGACCGAAACGACGTCTCAACAAAAGGTGAACGCATGGAGGCCGCATATGGATGTGCGCTTGGAAGTGGTCCAGAAATCGCTCGACATATACGCGTTGCACAATCTCCACAGAATTATCTGCTGGTGAGTAGTCAGGTGTCATCATCATCATTGTTAACTAGTGGTGGAAACATCCCCGGCTACTGTGCCGCCATCTATATATAACAAAAAAATGCTACAGATGAATGCCAGCTGAGCTACCGGTAACGGATGCGCATCGTTCCGGAAAGCTACCATCCGGCTACTATGCAAAAAAAATTATATAAAATTAAATTATGCTAAGAAATGAGATCGTGGTTTGAGTGAGAGCCTAAGATGAATAGGGAGGGACAAAGAAACTCACAGCACGAACACCATAGAGCTCGGCTCCTAGCCATGTCAACAAGTGTATCCAGTCAAGCGTGTTCATCGTCCTTCGGAGCCCAGCCACGATGCCGAGACGCTGCAACCGAGGCCAGCTTCGAAGTGAGGGCCTTCATTCCCCTAGACCAACTCATCCCTTGGCAACTTCTCTCGTTTCATCCACACCACCTGCGCGCAAACAACGCACATTGCAGGAGCCGGTGGGCTAGCGTGCGTAATACCTGGCCGATCCATCAGGGTCTGGTGCGTAAAATAACGATGCTGAGCGGTTCATTTCCTTTTCCTGTGCCGTAAACAAGGCGTCTAACACGCTCGTTGCTCACGCAGTGTTCCCACCAGATGTTAAATTGCGAAGACACTGGAGGTTGAAAGTAATTAGCCTGTTCATTTCGGCTGATCTAAGGGGCCAGGGCTCAGAACCGCACAGTAGGGTCGAACGTACCTCTGCATTGTACACTCTACCCTTCATAGCGAGTGATGTCGTGCCGGCGCCATGGATGGCGAAGGTTAACAAAAGCGCATCGAGCTTTTGCTACACGATACGTGATCTCTTCAATCCCAATGGCGCTGATACAACTTCCAAGTTAGTTGAGTTTTTGAAAGACTTCTAGCTGATCCGCACCAAGGGTCAGCGCAGGAGGCGGTCCATGTCAATCGTGGAGTAGAGCTTTGCAATTCGAGGGTGCAATGCAAATCATGAAACGGCTGACAGCCTGTGCTAATCTGTTAGCGCTGTTTAGCACGTCTAGGAGCATACTCCAATTCAATAAGTCATTCTCCTGGGAACGGCTCCACATCTTCTAAGTCGTGTCCAGTGAACGCGATCTCCATAACTTCGTCAATAGCTAAGTTGAAGAGGAAAGGTGAGAGCAGGTATCCTTGTCTCATACCGCTGGAGATATTGAAGGGTGGTGACAGCTTGCTGTAAGCCCTCACTCTGCCTGATCTACGCGCGTATAGCGCACGGATTATATTGAAATATTTCTCGGGCACCCCTTTCCCGAGTAGACAGTCCCACACTGCACATCGATCAACCGAGTCGAAGGCACCTTTGATATTGAGGAACACGACAACGGTAGACTGCCAATATGTGACGGTGCCTCCTACAGCTAACGCAAAGTGAAGATGTGGTTGCTACAGACTCGACCCTTGACGAAACCCGGCTTGCTCCTCACTAATCTGTCTTTCATGTGCGTCAGTCAGTCTGAGAGGGATTACAGAGGCGACTAATTTGGAGGCGATGGGGATCAGATTGATTTTGCTCTATGGTTGCCGCATTCCGAACGCGAGCCTTTTTTGATGATCGGGACAATAACGGAATCTGACAATTACGGCCGAGTAAATGGCTCAGCCCAACGCTGCAAGCGTTTTGGCAAGTTGTAGATAGGCTGTCCACCTTCATCATAAATTGTTTAACTAATACCAGGTCTCCTGCTGCCCGTTTCCCGGATCAGATGGAATAACTTCCATGCAGCCATTTCCCTTCAAAATTTTAAGAGAGCAAGAACGAACAGCATTTTTACGGGATAACCGGACAATACCTACATTTCAACAGTTACTGTCCAATGAACTATAAACGATCCCTAGTTCGCCCTTGTTTTGTTACAGCACACCGAATATGTTCTGAAGAGTCAATCGAGGCTGAATTACGACTCATCGAATCTAACCTACACAATAACAGCTATCCGAATAAATTCATCACCAGGTATGGGAATGAGGTTGCTAAGAAAGAAACACGAATGGATGTCCCAAAGAAAAAAGCCTTCATCACGCTACCATACAAAGGGAACAGAACGACAGAAGATTGTGCTACCGATTACGTCAAGCCATACAAAGGTGCTACTACGCAGCTGAGCACGTGTTGTTACATGAAACCAAGAAGCTGTTCCATGAATCCAACTTGGATAGGCCTCATTCTCAGGTTACCACCTCATGTGTTTACTAATTCACTTGTACTTGCGGTAGCATATACATTGGCCGAACCGAGAGAAGGCTATCAACTAGGATCATGGAACATGTTCCACGGAAGCTGGCAAATAGTGGACCTAAACTCCCTGCCAGCTCCATCGCTCAGCATCTGCTCGATTGTACGTCACGCGAAAACCCACGTGACGCATTAAAGGTTAACAGCAGACAAAACAAGGCGAGCTTGCTTCGTTTTGCTGAAGCCTCTGCCATCCGACGAATGAAACCAAATCTTTGCAAACAGATAGACCTTGTGGCCAGTCTTGCTTTGCCCTGGTAAGACGCAGGCAATGACTTTGATTTTCTCAGTGTTTTATTTATTTTCTTATTAACCCCTTTTTCAATTGTATTCCTTTACTCTTTCCACGAATTGTCTGTAAGCGGCTGAATGAGAATACACGGAATAACTTCCGTTGGTTATAAAGGCAACGGCCACTTCCATCTCTGACGCACGAAGAGACCACCAGGATTCGCGGTCTCTCTTCAGGTTAGCACAGAGTTTTGCCTGGAGGTTTCTGCCAGTCTCATCGTGTTCGCTTCTAGCCGTAATATGCCGGCGAGCATCCATATGTTCCAGGGACCACGAAGTGACCCAATGTCCATGTTGGCGATTAGACTTACCACATGAAGATTTGCCTGCTGCTACTAAGGTCTGGTGAAAATGCGATCAATGACCTTCAATTGCATCCAGTGAGTGCTTACTCAATCCGCATGTCAACGTACTTCGATACGCATTCATAGCACCTAGCTTCGCCAGTTAGCTGGTGTCTGCGCTCAATACGTCGTCGTGGGCGTTCGCCAAAACGTATTTCACAGGTCAGCACGTATAAGTGAATGGTCAGTGTTCACACGTGCCTCAAATCGAGCGACAGTCCTGGACGCAGCCTCTCCAGTGGTAACTGATCACAGTATGATCGATTTGCATCCATAGCTTGTTCGAGACTGGTGGGCGCCAAGTTACCCTCCGGCGGAAATTACTGATCGCAAGAAATAAGGGGGCATATTCACACAATTGAATTAACCGCTCACCGTTATTGTTATGTTGTCAGCGAACCGTTCACGCACCCACGATCGCAGGAAGAACACGAAGATGAGGCAAGACCGAGTTCTTTTACACGAGTAGTCTGCTCCTTTAAATAGAGTACAGCAGTAGTTGAAGCCAGGCTACTAATACATGTTGGAGCCAACTATCAACGTAGGAGACACTGAATGACGCAGGAGAATAAGAAGTAGTAAACGTAAGAACCAATCAGGCGAGTTCGAAGAAATGTCATTAGCGGAAATACCCCTGAGATGACATCCATGTCGAACGACGTGGGTCTGCCAATCAAAGCGTTTAAACAAGTCTCGAAAGCAGGTAAATAAGATTCGGTATTAAAATATCTGTCTAATAATCATAATAATAATAATGTGTCAGCTGTACACCGTAACGGCACTTCGCTGCCGCGCAACCACCACCAGTCGCGCGCGGGCTGAGTATACCGCGAGGACGCCCACGTCTACGCGGATTCGAACCGGTGACTTTATGCTTGCAAAGCAAACGTGCAGACCACTCGGCCACCGGCCGCATCATCCTAACAGTTATCATTACGGGAGCCTACACCGTGTTGGTCGCCCAGATGCAGTGGATGATTTTCCAGCTTGAGCGTTCAGATCTCCCGCCGGCACAACAATGTAAGGTGTAATGCATACGGTGGGTGCTCGTTGTTTCAGTAAGCAGCTCCGTTCGCACCGATCAGACTCTTGCAACCTTCACAGCTTGCAGTACAAATCGTCAATGTAGGGTCCACTAAGCAAATCACATTCACGCTGTTACCTTGCGGGTCCGAATACTGAATCGAGGATTAAGCTATCGGACAAAATTCCACATGACCTTATCGTTAATGTTCTTTTTCTGCTTTTTCTCGTGCTCTGCAGATTTTGTTTCCCCGGGCTAATTAATATGGAAAGTGAAATCCACCAATGATCATGAAAAGATGGAGTCACTTTGTTGCAAATGGCTTCCTTGGTTGGAAGGCTCGGGATTAGAACAGTTTTGTCACTTCTGTGTGTTCGCCTTTACTCTGACCTTTTTTAAGGTCGATTTAATCAGGTTACTGTATGGATCATAATTGATCAACGGGAAACGACACCACACGCTGCAACTAACTTACTTCTAGGCTAACCAAAAATATTGCGGCGCTATCTACATTTCACCCGAGCAATTGCTCTGAAAATGTGTGTAAATGAGCTCATTTTAAAATGATCCCTAACTAATCAGCTTGTTGTTTTATCTAGGTTCCCGACGCATCGTCATGCTGTTCCGTGGCCCAACTAGCCATTCCGTCACAACGGCTAGTGGAGAAGTGGTCAGTGAAGATCCCTGCATGCCCCCAAAGTACGAAGATGTGCTTGCTATGCCGAGCAACGCGTATGGTCCCCCTCCGTACGAGTCCATAGTTGAGGAGAGCGCGGTCACAACGCAACCGAACAATCTCGGTGAGTCGCCGTCTCCCACGCCAGCCAGCGGCGTCCAGGAACACAACCAAGGATGTGAGGGCGCAGAACAGTGACTCTTCGATAGTGCGCTATCTGAATGATTGGCGGGAAGAAACTACGAAAACTACTTGACCAGCAAACCTCCGCCCCCCGAATAGTTGCCTATAGCTTTACAACGCTTAGGCTCCAGGATCCTTCTCTGTTTGAGTTGCCTTCAATAGAATCCCGCACAGCTAACCGGGCAGCAAGCTTGCTCTTGCCAAAGAAACAGAGAAATACAAGTTTTATTTTGATCCGACTTCTAATTTCTTGCTTGCCCATGTGATAATTCGTATGTTGGATGAGCTGACCGTTTTCAATACCTCCTGGATAAACGCATTGCATTTGTTATCGACAAATTCTTTCTGCACGATTGGGACGGTGACATCACTCTAGCAGTCCATATGATACCCTCTATTTAGGCCAGCATGCATGTTTATCGGCTGGTTGTTTAAATGCGCGTTAAACGATTAAAACCGCATATCTAGACCGCCATTAACCATGCTAAGAGCTGTAGACACATTGTCACACAACATTGAAGAACCCAAGTGAGTATCACGGGTTGGCCCAGTTTATTCAACAGATAGATTGACTTCCTATGGATAGTTCATCGCACTAGCTTCTAAGCTATCATCCATGCATTTGGAAGAGCATCAGGCGACCGTTTCGTTCCATTGGAGCTCGTAAATGATGCGGATCCACCGGCTCCCTCTGATAATCGAGCCTATGACGTCGCAACACTGGCGGTTTGCACCACTAGACAGCCGCTTAAAACGCTAGACTACGGCGATGGACTGTCATGACTAACGAGCTAACTGCGATATAGCGGACTCATCCTGCGCTGCTTCCAGTAAGAATTTCGCCGCTGTTGTCAGTCCCGCTGAGCCTCGATTTTTTGTCAGTGTTGTCTACAGGAGACTACTTGCGTCAGTTGCCTCATGTGTGTCTACTACGACGAGAGGTGCAGCCAGATTATAGGGGTATGTTTAAACAAGTATGCCTGTTCCGTTTAACAAATCTAGACTGGAACCGCGAAATAAAGCCGCTGATGGCTGATCTAGCCGATGCTCTGTTCTCTGAGTTGGGCCTGTGCGACCAACGCTGCAAGTGGCGCATTTGCTATTGTCTCCTGGTCCGACGGAATGATTATTTAAAGCACTGTGGTGCTGAGCTACTGTGGGATAAGGTTTATCATAACTCGAGATAAGAAAAGTTGCAAGAGCTCCGAGTTTGCTATACTTATCTTCAGACAACAGCTCAATCCTTGCGGCCATACGAGGTGCAGGCGCCCTACTTTTGTCGTTCCTCATTAGCAGGATTGTTCTTGATTTATGGTTGCCAAAAAGCGAGGCACCCGCATACAGTGCAGATGTACTGCTGTTTTATTTCTGTACACTCGGTTTGATAACCTTTCTTACGCGTTTAGTTCCCGATGTGTCTAGTAAATGCATTCCTGATCGATTAGTCAAATATCGGCTTCCCACCCCTGTGTGACAGTTTTTGGCGCGTGATTAGGCACTACTGGGAGCGGTTAGCAAGGTGAAATCGAGTAGATTGTGAATCACGCTAATGGTTTAATGTACGCCCATGAACCACATATAGAAGTGCGACAGGAAAAAAACGTGAAAGCAGTGTACGATAAAGGCTGCAAATCAGGGCGTACCACGCAACATCCGACAGAACAATCGTGGTGACGCGCTCAGCAGTACGCAAGTGAGCGGTGTAAGCGGTAAAGTCAATGTACCCAGTCGATTACGGTTACCTCAGTGAACAACCCACCAAACTCTTGGTTCTTACAAATCGAGACATGCAGTCTGTCGATTTCGTGGTATTGTTCATTGACTATGAGCCAGATGACCCCGACAGACGTGATGTTGCGAGTATACGCAATTACAGGATAGTGCTGGGGTGGTTCAGACTTTAGGCCCCTAATTCACAGGTTACCAGTTCAAGTTTGCGTAGGTGCGACCGACCTCGCAGATCTTGAACGGTTTCAGGATGGAGAATAGAGTGTATGATATCTAATAGATAGTTCATTTATGGTGTGGTCAGAATCCGTTCCGGACGGCAATCACATGAGTGTCTGTGCAAGATGATCATCTATTAACGATTGATTTATAAAAGATTACCGCGAAAAACCCACCTACGCTACGCTGAGATCCTTTTTATTCTCTTTATGTTCCAGAGCGATGATTATTCCTATCCGGTGCTTCACGTGTGGAAAAGTGGTCGGAGACAAATGGGAAAGTTACATTGGGCTTTTGCAGGCAGAATACTCTGAGGGAGACGCACTAGATACGCTTGGTCTACGCCGATATTGCTGCAGGCGTATGCTTTTGTCCCATGTGGATTTGATTGAGAAACTGTTAAACTACTCTCCACTTCAACGTTAATTTTCCTCAACCCTGATTATTTGAGCGGTAAAATAAAGAAAGCGATTTTTGTGAACGTCATGTCACTTTTATGATAACTGAATGGGATCGCACTTCTGAAAAAATGGGTGTCAGTATTGCGAAGCAAGTAAAATCATCACAGGTGTTCAAAATGTGTCATTTTTCTCCTCGATACCATCTGCGTATGGCTTCCAATACACCTGGAGAGGACTTGTTTGTGGTCGTTTGGGAAGTGGAGCTTTGCGGGTTCGGGGCAATCATTTTTGGGACTGAATCTGAAAGATAAAGCGATAGAAAAATGAGATTTCAGACAGGATCGCTTTGGGATTTGTTGTCGCGCTACCGCGGTAATTTTAGGGTCACTAGCAGTTGTTTTTGCACACACAGCGACAGCGATCTTAGTCGACAACTATGGCCTCCAGTGGCTTAGGAGTGCACGACGCCTGATTACACAAAAGGAATGTCAGATTCGCCTACTGCCACGAAACCGCTACTCCTCCTGCAATGACGATGTCACCTCGATTGGTGATGTAACATCTGCAATCAAATGCTTAACAATTGGACCTTTGATTCTTTTCCCACCACCTACATAATGTGGATTTTACCTAGTTTCTACAGTTCTACAGACCATTGCGAAAATCCTTACGATAACGACTGGTGCCCACTAGAAATGCGATATCTTTTTGGCAGTTTAAACCAACTTTGCGTTTTACAACTGTATTTGTTTGATGAGAAGTACTGAAGAAAGATAATTTCGCAACTGTGAGCTCTTACTTTGACTAAATCGACTTTATTGTAGACTCCAATGCGGAAGCTCCTAATTCAGATATTTAGGCCGTGCCTGGAGGAGAACTAGCTTATATATACTGCGTGGACATAATCATGTCCAGAGATTCATGTGACAGCACAGTCACCAATGGACAAACTCTGAACCGAGTCCATCCTTCTCGGTATGCACCTTCAAAGCGTTGTTGAAGTGCCAACAGTCACTTGATAGTCCCTCGAGTCTTACGAGCGAGGAATGGTAACTAATTTTCCAATTTACATATCTTGGCAACTGTGTTAGCGGTGATCGGCTCGTGACTGATGAAATTACGTCACAGGCTACAAAAGCCAGAGCAGGCTTCATGAGCATGCGACACGTCTGGCACAAGGAGCAAATGTCCTCCGATTCCTTCGGCCAGAAGATTACAATCATCTTCGGATTTACGATCTCTGCCTAAGCCACCATACCTTGGTGCACCGGACATGTATGGTGACCACAAATAAAATGCGCACACAAACGAAGAGAAGTGGGGAAAACTGCGTTAGTCGTTAACTACTACGCCTACCAGCATTTCAACCCCAGCTCCAACTATTTTTATTTGATGAGTTCAAGCAAAAAATGAAATCGGTCGTAGAGTGCAGTGTTGGGATTGAGTAGCATTGAAATCTTTCCAACAGGAGGAAAAAATTGTGAAGTCGGGCTTTGAGAATACAACGCGATTGACTCACAATTAAAATCTGTTTCCTCGGTTTCCTCCTTGCCCGAAGGATCGCGACGGATGACTGTGCGCCTCTCTCCTTGTGGAGAGCGTTCCACCGTGGTTTTTACCTGAGTACCATCAGGCTCATGCACGATGCGAGTCTCTGATTCAGTGAGTTCCTAGAAATAGAAGAAAAATTGGATGATAAATGCCATTTCAACAAGAGCATTTTGGCAAACGTGGTTGTGTGTACTTGCGTTTATCGTGTCGATGAACCACATCAACTTTACAACAACCTAAATGCGAGGACCAGTAGCAGTACAGATTATATCAGCCTCCTGTACCTAGCACTTTCGGCAGCAATGTGTCACGATAAAAAGCGTGGAATGCTAAGGCAGTGGTTTCGATTAAGAGGTAAGCGACAGATTCCGTCATCTTGTAAGTCACTGTTGTGAAGCGGGGGGGGGGACGGAACGCATTTGTCCTTGTTACAGAATAGTGATCAAATTTGCGCGCCTCACGCAGCACATCCGGATTATTGCGCTGCAAACCGAGTGTCAAGTTTACTTAAAAAAGCACGTGAGGAGACTGGATTTATAAGTGTGCAGGAGTTTGTGTACATCGGTGATCTGGTAGCCCAACCTGAGTGGCACTCTCTTAGTACTTTCAGAACCAGATCGACAGCAGAGGAAGCCCGAACTGTACGGGAAGTTAGCTACCCTGAAAAAGGCTAATTTTCGTTATTTCATCAAAAATCTCTAATATGGTTTGCCGCCAGTGCTACTTTGCTTTTGAAAGGCCAGCACTTTGCTTCACTCGCCTCTGACTGATCAGCGGTGACCCACATACACCATCGTGCATCTGTACTTTCCAAGGTCGGTGTGCGGTTACACCCGTTTGGTTCGCTGTGTTATCCGGTCCAGCAAAAAGTCTTATATTACTCTGCTCATGTTTTGACAAATCATGTAAATTGTTGTGGCGGTGGAACTTAAGCCAATCGCCCAAAAGCAGGGTGTACAACACTGGAGAACGATCTGTGCTGCTCTGTGAACCTAAAGCATGGCCGCTTTCTATTGGGGACATTAAGAAATTGCAAGTGTTTGATCACCTCTATGTCTGCAAAGTATTGGTTATATTCAGAGGGGGCAGCAACTGGAATTACCAAAGAACCTGGCAGTAAACTATCCTGCAATGTTGGTGGTCTGAGTGTTCGCTGAGCTCGGCACTTTGGTTGCAAACGTTTTGTCACCACCCGAGGTGACATCGTCAGTATGTGGTTATGTTGCAGAGCGGCGCGCACTGACGACGTCAACTCGGGTGGTGACTAAACGTTTGCAGCCAAACTGCCGAGCTCAGTGAACACTCAGACCACCAACTGAACAACCTGAGCTACCAACATTTATTTCCATATCCGGCAATGTATTGGAGCGTCTGCCGAGGCAGAACTGCCCTCGCAGGTTGAGTCACACCTTTTGCATGCTTTCAGACCGGCTGCCGAGCCATAAATTAATAGACAATATTGCGCGCATTCGGGTGAAGCCACGAAGCGATCAGACGATGGCAAGACGAAAGAGTACGATGGCAGTGACCGAGAGGGCGAGTACAGTTTTGATGCGTTTCATCTTTTTGAATAGGACCTGGAAATAGGCTATCTCCATAGTAACTTCATCAAATTTAGTAAGAATAAAACCAATGGAGCTCTTGCATCCGTCTCCTTGTTTTGGAATGTTAGATAGAAAATAACCCTCCGGAAACAACCACTTTCGCCAAATTTCTCTATATTATTCTAATTATCACTCATCTGAGGTTAGTCAACCCATCCCATTTTGTAATCGTATTACGGTGGATCAGCTTGATTGAGCAGAACGTGTGTATCGTCCTTCTGTCTAATGAGCGAAATTCTGACAAGCTACACATGACATGGATGATTTCGGGGGCTCTCTCCCATCCCTGCACACCACGAAGCGTTTCACCCTTGTTTGGTAAAGATATTCTGATGTGGGAATGGAATTCGACACATAATGGTTGGCGACTATAGCCATGATCGCTAAACCATTGAGTCCTGCGGGCAGCGCTTGACACAACGGTTAGGAATTGGTTGTCGGGTTTTGGAGCACGCGTTATGGAGTGCAGTGATGGGACAGAGCAACACCAAAACTCACTACTTAGGATACGGTACCAGTAATCGGAATTGCACAGATTGAGTTCAAGGTCGACCAAGATCACAATTGTGATTGCGTGTCGCAATACAAGAAACACGGCGGGCACTCAAAAACCCAACATAACATCATTGCCGACCTGTAGTCTTAAGGGCCACAAGCCTGCCTTGTAATTCACGGGCGCGGGTTTGAGCCTGCGTAGGTACCGGGCGACCGTCGCAGTATCCTTAGCCCACGTGCGACTGGTGGTGGTTGCGCGCCAGCGAAGTGCACAAACAGTACTGCGTACTGCTGATGTCTTGTCTACATGACATCATTAGGTTACCAAGCACAGAGTGCGGTGGATTGTAAAGAGAAAACGACAGCGCATGTGTCACCATGGATGACCATGCTCAGGTGAACTAGTGCTTTAGCAGGATGACGAATGGAGTAAAAAACATTCGATGGAAACTTCCATTGCTGTAGAGAAAAGAAACTGTGTCACGTAATGTCGTGGGCTATTTACACACACTGAAACACGTGTGAGCTTCTGTATTTGCCATTAGATTTAGCCGTTTCGGAAAATATTCCCAGATGGGCAATGAAACAACACAACCGATATCCCGACCTAGTTGTTAACGCGCTTATTTATCAATGTCATTGATTCCTGAGTTGGGTTAATCACAGAAGTTCGTAGAAAACAATCTTCTCAACAAGATTTGCACCGAAACTGAAAGAACTAATAAATGGCGATGGAGTCGAGATTCCACCTTAGGCGGGGAAAACCCACTGACCAATGATTAGGACATCTAACAGATATGAACTAAGACCAACATCTAGATGATCAGTCGCCTACAGGGATCGCCTCACAATCCAGAGACAATCAATGGTTGATTGTCGTATGACTGGACGGAAGGTGAAAAAAGGACAGATAGGAACAGCTGACACAACGTGAAAATCACTATGCGCTCTAAGTGGCGTGTGAAGAGTGTTTCATAATAATGGAGCTGAATTAGTAGAACTTAAGCGAGAGATCGGTCCAAAACTTTGGGACGATATTCAGCTTTTTTCGTAATTTCTCCCCGTCAGTAGTACGTCGCAGCGACGCTTCACTGCTACGCGACTACCCCCAACCCATCACGAGCCAATGGTACTGCGAGACCGCCCGTATTTACGCAGACTCTGGACGGTGCTTACGGATTATACCTCGCATTGCTTAGGCCACCGGCTGCGTGGGGTGAGGATAAAACCGGAAGTGGAACCCACAATCCACACTGATTTGTTCAGTTCATCACAATTAGATTACAATCCAGAAGGGTCAACTACCAGTCCGGAAAAGCACCAGGCGATTAGTGCACACAGTCGGAACTCGTCCGTGATGCGCATTCTCTCAGTCACCTTAAGGGGATCGAATACATGACTGCTAGTGGCGCAATCCACTTACCAAATCCCCTTGCGTATAAGTAAGCAATAATTTAGCTTTAACGGTCTTCAAAATGCTGTGTGGATTCACGGCTACTGGCAAAGGGATGCATAACAGCTGAGGACCAAACACTGTCTTCTGCACGGGTGGTAACTTGTATGGTAGTGGAGGATGGGTCGAATTGTATCACAGTCAGATTTCAATCCATAATGGTCCCTTATCGTTTCCCACGGCTCAGTGGCATAAGCTGACGGCTATTAGTGCAAAGCACTTGCGGTCATGAGTTTTGTTCTCTCCAGGGGATCGAGGGAATGCGCACCACTGACGAATCCCAATGGGGCGAAAAGACCAACTGGTGCTTTCCGAAATGGTAGTTGACTTCTCTGGCTTCTAATCTAACTGCGATGAACAAAATAAATCTTATCAAATCCCTCTACTCATAATTAATCCACAAGAAACTAACCTGATAGTGCAGTAAGTACGGGCAAGCGTCACATGATGATACGGTAGCAGATCAAAAACCGATTTGAGTCTCAAAAGCGTCACACTGTGGTAAAATATCAAAAATGCGATACATGCATTTTGGTTTACAGTTCACTACAAGTTCGCATGCATCTTTCCCGAACAACCTCCCCGTGTTGCTAGCTGGGTGGCTCGGGTTTATCGCGTTCCAACAAACAGTTCGGCGGCAGTGTTCCAGGTGGTGGGTTTTCGCCTGGCAAGCATGCTCCCTATAAAAAGCCACAAATGTCTGTTTAACAACATTGCGACCTGGCGAATGTGACTCGCCACAAACTAAAGTCACTGTCTTTTGCTTATCCGGATAAGCACATCCAATTCACGGACGTCAATCATCTCTTCACACATTGGTGACGCGATCGGTCAAAAATGCAGCGGCACATATACAAACCTAAGCAACGCAGCTACACAAATACACACCTACGTACATATATACACTCACAAATATACATCATTAACTACTATGGCTAACATGTATTTTTGTACATTTCCCCATCACTTGTTGTCCTCTTATCATGATCATACCCGTATGGTCGTGCCTCGCGCTGTCGAGAAATATACGTACTATTATCATTAAATATTTATTTATTGTAGACATGAAGCGAAATTTGATTTAGCACTCACCCCATTTGGTCCAAGAATAGTTCGTCTGCTGAATGACTGGGCCCACTTTTTAACTTCTGGTGGTGCCCACGGAGACAAAATATCATCTACTGGGGCGTTATCATCCAATATCACATCCTTTTTGTCTTCCTCGTATCTTCTCCGCTGACGCTGGAAACAATGTAATCCATGGCAGTATGAATGCGAAAAGGTCATCAAATCTAGATAAAATAATGCCGCTTAGAAAAGTGAATGGGTATGTCATGTCCCGATGGAATATTGGCCCAAACAAGGTCTTCATGAATTGTGAAATATCGGTAACAACGAGATAATTGACGTGCGAAGAAAAGGCGATTGATGAAAGGGCAGTTTAAGTGAAAACTAAGAAAAATAGGTGAAAATTAAAAGAACTTGATAGAACTGGGGATAAATTACGGCGATGTACAGTTCCGTTCGTTAGCAACCAGTAAAAATCTGGTGTACAAAGAATTTAATTTCAATCTTGTATCTGGACTCTCTTAAATCACCTGATAGGACAGCGAAAGTTCGAGGGCCATCGGATCCATATCGTTCACATTACGCCAAATTCTAGGATGCGTAAAAATAACAGCCTAACCCAACATAAGTAGTGCAAAATATCACAAAATCACCGACGAAGTGGACATGTCGAACGTCAACAAGACTATAAACTTCTGATAAGCGGTAGTGACCGGAAACTGCTCCTTAGGACGCTAGCTAGAGGCACATGCGAGCTTTGTACGATTGCAGTCAAGTTCGGCTTTGGTTACTACTGGATATCGACATACAAAAATGCGGTGAGTCTTGTCATGCTTCGTAACGCTAGAATGATGACGAGCAAAACAGATGGGAAAGCCGAAAAAGAGTGAAATGAACTTAAAGTAGCAAACAAAGAGCATTACAATCGTCAGACAGACGAATTAAAGATGAAAAGATCAAGCAATTAAAATCACGAATTTGAAAATCCGTGGGCGAATTACATTGCACATGGTTTTTCGCCATAAGTGTGATCGATGCCGAGTCATTTCTATGCAAGAAGACGATATATACGGATGTCACTAGGGCTTACAAGATACCATCGAGGGGACAGCTTAGAGTTCTAACAGACTGGTCAAGAGGATGAAGTCCTCCTCCTTCGAACCTGGTGTCAGTTGGTGTTTCCCGACTGCCGCGCTGGGGACCGAAGGATGATGAACACATTAGGTTCTATACACAGGTTGACATGGCAAGGATCCAACCTCAAGGACGTTTGTGTTGTGAGTTTCTTTGTCCCTCCCTTCCTCTTTAGCTTCGCTCTCCAACGACGATCTCACACCCTATGTATAATATGATATTTAAAATTATGTTGCTTTTCTGCAGCTTGTTTAGCCTGTATTGTTTAACCTCTTATCATTTTTGTGTTGCGCCACATTAGCTGAAGTGTGTCTCTCATCCTCGACTAACGTGTACTGCTGATGATGATGATGAGGCCCAGAGTCGGTAGACGATACAAGACGAAGCATCTGGTCACCAAACATGCGAAGAACACGACCTGATCGACGTATGTTGTTCGGGCGCAACAAACATGTCATTTCGGTAATGATGTACTACGGAACACCAACTTCTAGACTTCACTGTAACCTACAGTGTTTCCCTCGTATGTGGGAAATAATCTGAAGAAATTAGTGGTCAAACAAAAGCAGCTTTCAATGAGAGTTTTGTTGGGGAAAAGAAAATAATTCAGTACTTTAGTCGTCGCAATTCGACAACAAAATGAGGCGGAGAAAAAGTTATGGGAACTACAGCGGCTCTCCGTAATGATGCTTTGCAGCCACAGTTGTTTGTGGGATGAGATGCCGCGCAGAAGATAAGACCTACGCGGTAGTAAGGATTTATAATTAATCTAAATCACACGATGTGAGTTATCATGTAGTCAGCAACTACTGTGAAAAAGTTCTGGAATAATAAGTCAACCGGTATTAGGATTGATGAGAAGTTGGCTCCATTGATCAATCATTAAACTCCGCAAGCCTGCGAAACACGAACGTCAATGGGACACCTTATGGGTTCCATTCTAAATGGTGAATATATACTTTGAAATGTGACATGCACAACGTCGACCAGAGTACAGAACAATCTGTTCGAAGCAACCTTGATCTCAAATGTTAGTCTACAGTTGTGCATGCGGCATGTACATCAGTTCATCATCAATACAAGTGAGTGGGAAACACACCTCAGCTAATGTGCAGCAAAACAAAAACATACTGATAGCGGTTATGCCAAGATCTAGTAGTGAGTATAACATCTCCTGGGAAGTAATTTAAGATCAAAGAGGATGGACGGTGTGCTAATCAGAAAATTCGTCATGTATACCAAGGGGAATGCAGGTTGGCATACAGTGTGCATAGGTTTATAAATTGAAAATAAAAATGACCAAAGTGGACAGAGCTCGGCTGGAAATCTTAGTTGCGGAAGCAGAGGCACGCAGATATATGCGCTATTTTTGGCTGATCGGTGAGAAGATCTTCACACTAAATTTACCCAAAACATGACCTTTCGTATTAAGCTGATATCGACCGCAACACGGAAATAAGTCAACAACCTTAAGCACGAGGATTTTGAGTTTGTTTGTAGATGGCTATCAGCGGTACGCTGCTGCGCAAGCACCACCAGTCGCACGAGGGTTATGGATACTGTGAGTGCCAGGGTCCCCTACACAGGCTTGGACCCGCGATCTCAGGATTACAAGGCAAGCTTGTGATATTTAAGGCCATCGGTCGGCAAGCTAAAAGGCTTGTTAGTGAATGCGTCACTACATGGCTGGGCAATGTTATCAATATGGAAGTCGCATGGATGACGCTGGTAACGAGACATCTGATAGTAAACTATCCAGCTGGGAGAAGAAGCCAACATCACTTACATTTTGAGTTGTGTTCTGTCAATCTCCGTCACCTGTGACGCCGACACGGCTTCACTCTCACTCTGAAGGGCAGAATTTACAATGCAGTCGTCTGTTCAACTCTTCTATACGGCTGCGAAACCTAGCCCATAAGATGGGTAGACATAAGTCGTGTCCTGTGAACGTGATTTCCATGACTTCATCAATAGCGAAGTTGAAGAGGAAAGGTGACAACGGGCATCCTTGTCTCACACCGCTGGAGATATTAAAGGGCGACGACAGCTTGCCGTAAGCCCTCATTCTGCCTGAGCTACGCGCGTATAATGCTCGGATAATATTTACATATTTCTCAGATACACCTTTCCTGAGTAGACAGTTTCAAATTGCATGTCTATCCACCGAATCGAATGCACCTTTGATATCGAGGAACACGACAACGGTGGGACGTCAATATATATGACGGTGCTCCGACAACTGACGCAAAGTGAAAACGTGGTCAATGCAGCCACGACCTCGACGAAATCCGGCTTGCTCTTCACGAATCTGGCTTTCAACATAAAGAGGCTAGTTACGTTCGATCGCCACTGCCTTCACAGCATAGCTCATGTCTGATGGGAGTTCTGCATGAGCAATAAGCGTGTTCGGCGTCGTGTATTTGATGTAGGAAGTATGAGTGAACCGCTCAGTACTGCTATTTCGGTGGCTATTGCCGGTGGCTGGGCCAGGTGTTGCACATGCCAACCATACGGACTCCCGCGTCGTGCGTTGTTTGCGCGTCCGGGTGTGGGTGGAAGAAGAGTAAAGTAGGCCAAGAGTTGACTTGGTCAAGAGGAATAAAGACCCTCACTTCGATGTTAGCGACGGTTAGTGTCTCCCGACTGCCGGGCTGGGAGCGGAACGACGATGAACACGTTTGATTGGACACGCTAGTTGCCACTGCAAGAAGCCGACCTCAATGGTGTAGGTTGGGAGTTTCTTTGCTCCTCCCCATCTCGCTTATCTTTCCCCTCCAACTATAGTCTGTGTTGAAACAATATCTTAATAATCAGCTTGTTAACTATTTTTGTGTTCTGTTTATTACCTTTTGCGTATATTTTACTTTTTGGTTTTGCGGCACAATAGTTGGACTGTTCCTCAACCTCAGCTAATGGGTAATGATGTGTTTCCAGTGAATGTCTAAATAAAGTGTTACTAAGGAGTAGTATGGGAAAAACAAGCAGGCGTGATAAAAGCACAGAAATTATAGATCACTACGGAGGAAAGTTCACAAATCAACCACCACGGTTACGTTGTGGAGAAAGGCAAAGAGCGGAACGGAGAGTCAAAACAGCACAACGCAAATGGACCAAACTAGTCCATGTTCGATCTATTATGGAAACTCGTGTTGCGTTCTCAGTATTTGATGCTGTGACCACCTAGAGGTGGCAGGGTGTAGATTCCTTGGCCGTCGTCACTTGAGGATGGGGAGGTTGTGTTCTCAATACTTTTAGCGTGGCATATGAAATAGCCGTCCAAAACGGCGAACTACGTCCCAAGTGTACACGGGAAATTTCATCAATTAGTCGGCATCTAGGCGCAGTTGAGATTCTTAGTTTGAAGAGCTGCAGAGAAGATAAATTACATGGTTCTATGGGGCATTTTGGAAAGGCAGGGCATGCGGTACTTTACTGAATTGGTTTTAGGCCATCTACAACAATGAACTCTCAGTGAAATCAAAATCACCTCATCATGAGTTATAATCTCGCAGCAGACACCACCGTTGGAAAAATAGTACAAGAATTTTGAGGCCAAGCGATCAGTGACAGGACACGAAAGTTAGGATTTCCGAACGAAATCCAGCTGTTGCATAAAATCACACACCGTAATGGGAAAAAAGCAGAACACGGTTTGCAGATATGTAAACAAAATCATTGTAAAAGATAAGAGATTACCTGAGTCCTGTTGAAAAAATCTCTGTCCATCATATCGGGCTTAACGAGATCGCCATAAAATGGAAATGGCATCCAAGGCTCGGGAACAAGTAAACCAGGACGACTGTCATCCTCCTACAAAAAACACTTCATGCAAGAATAAAAGGAAATTACCGGTTCGCGGAGCATCTCATCGCGTGGACTCTCAGCATGTCTTCTCGCTGTTCAAAATGTTGTAATGGAAATAATCACTTACGCTCGAGGAATCCCGAAAACATCATTTCGTTCATCATCCGATGGAGATGTTCAAATATGTCATCCATTATCACGACGGCTGAGTCTGGAGACAAAGGTATTTTCATTCATGAGTTTCAGTAATTTACAAGTGGCATCACTGCCATCATCAGAAAATAAAACGAGAAATGAGCACAAACAAATTGTCACCAAGCATTTGTGAACCTTATAAATGCTAAAAGTCTACGAAACAGAAAGAATCATTGCTACGAGACAGGTACAAGGTGATTTTCGAGGGCCAAAAACAAGAACCTGAATTAAAGGATTGAGGAATTATGGTGGGCACCATAACAGAACGGAATAGAAGTCAATCCTCCCTCGATATCACTTACCCCCAAAATCTAAGCAGGTGTATACGTTTAGACTACATGCAAACCATTGTAGAAGGAATGTAGCGACCTGGAGGTTTACACTTACGATTGTCGTATTACAAAATTATAGCTTAATTCTGTATTCAGGATAATTAGGCAGTTTGTTCATCACAAGAAGAGGAAAAGTAGATATTACGCTTGAAGCGATTGATTCATCATAAGGCTAACTACAAAAATATACGCTTGGAAAAGTGTAGTCTTGTGGAATGTACAGAAATTGGTAATTGGTTGGCAATTGATTTGATAGAATTAAACGGCTATCATGACACGCCAAATAATCAAGTGATTGAAGACACGTGCTGACGCTGAGCAAGATCCGATTCGCTTCGGTTGCTCGCTCGCCAAGACAGTTGCACTGCGCTGACGAGTTTGTTTGGAATGCATAAATTCAATTTGGTCAAGCTGATGCATACCGCTTCAGTGGTGGCAAGCAGTCTAGCCTTTGACCGGTGACTTTATTTCTGCGGTACTTTATACTTTACGATGCCCAGTACAACTAAGGTGGTTAGTTATTGCAGTGTGCGTGCCTACTGGCTTTAGCGTTTTATATTCCTCATATGAGATGAAATGATGTAGCAGTAAAGTCTGGAATTCACGACACGATTTAATGTCGACCAACCGGATTGCATCGAAGGTAGTTGCTGGCTTGAATTTCGTGGTGCCTGACAGTATTACTTCCATCCTGAGTTGATAATCTGACCCGGCGAGAACGATTACTCCGGAATTCTTATCAAACTTTAAAATGGCCAGTTCTTTCATTCGTTCTAGCTCACCGATCACTTTATTGTGATCGCTGTTGTATTGGAGCGTTGAAAAAAGGATGCTCGGAAGAAACCGTACACGAAAATTGCACACAGCAAAATGCGTGTACACGAAAAAATGCATGCACGGAAAATTTCACCCTCGGAGAATGGTGCACACGATATACGACGAACACGGAAATACACCAGTTCGATCGCTTTGCAGATAAATGACTGCACAAAGTACCAAATTCCCCATGACTCATTCAGAATATTCAACAGACAGAACACTGTTCACTTACTACAGTTTGTTGAAGCCACAGCGATTCGGGGGCTCTAACGCACTCGGCGTGATCAGACCGAGATCGTGGCTAGCCTAGCGTTGGCTTGATGAGTTTGGTGACCGCATCACATGAGGGATAGCTATTTTCTCCCAATGGTACTGCCTAGGGAAGAATGCCCACATAGTAAATTTCCCACCCAGAGAATCGTTTAGACGGAAAAATTTTAGCAGTCTGCAGATGTGCCTGGTTTGTTTCAGTACAATGTGTACAATTGTAATCGAACTTACTTCTTCCGTTGCACACTTAGACGACCGATGAGAAATGTGGACTGTCAGTTCAAGACGTTTTAGTAAACCGAAAAACACGCCCGCGGTCGGATCCTTCGCACATTTGCGATAGACCCTACCATTCTCACTTTCCCAACCAGCACTTTTCTGCGGTGTCACTATATAGGGGACGTCCGTATGTGCACAATAATAGCGTGTCCCTTCATGATTCCGTTCCTCTGGACTGATATTTGGACCTGCCGCCATAAAATGCTCACGAACTCAGTCCGGTCACACCGAGTGTTTTAGAGCCACCGAATTGATGATGCTTCGGCAAACCGCAGTAGGCGAGTAGTGTCTTATCTGTTGAGTATTCTGAATGAGTCATGGGGGGGGGGGGGTTGACACGCTGGGCAATCGTTTATGTGTAAAGCGGTCGAACTGGTGTACTTCCGTGTTCGCTGTATATCGTGTGCACCATTATCCGAGGATAAAATTTTGGTGTATGCGATTTTCCTTGTATGCTTTTAGCATGGAACATGAAAAAGTATGCGGGATATTGACGTGCTCACTTATAATTCCCTCGTTATTATTCTTATTTGGAACTATAGAGGGAAATTCATGTTTCGAATTTATTAAACGAAGACTTTCTGCTTCGGTTGTGAGAGGACTCCACCGCATAGTGAGTCCAAGGTGCAAACTTGCGTTTGATTGAAATTTCTGAACAGCTATGTTCCCGAAAACTGTCGCGTGAGTTTTGAAGCGATTGCGCAAGAGTGAAATCCGTCCAATCAGGGCTACTATTAAGAGACTGACTCGAAACCACCAAGAAACTCGTTCACATAGGATTGATCAGCCTAAGCACACAGCTCAACGATACTGTTCATTTTGTGATTCTTTGCTTTTTGTGTGCCGAGTCAAATTCCATAACTTTTGCTATGATGTATAATGAGAAAAACGATGTGTTCCGCATCAAACAAGTTCCGACGTACTGTTTAAATTGAGCCACAAATTGGCGAATTTAGGGCTGACTGTTCGAAATTTGTTCACAATATGTCGCGCTGTCACTCAATTGATTGCAAACTAAATTCTTATCTTTAGGTCTTGTATTCAAAACGCCAGATCGTCAGATACACAGTCAAGTGGAAATAGGTTTCATACACCTAAATAGGTGCATTGTCAACGTTTACATTATCACTGTGGATACACTAAATGAATGTGACTAGTTAAAAAAATATATAGTTAAAAATATATAAACACAGATTAGAGAAATAAATAGTCGAAGGTATGTGAATGTCATTCAAGCAACCGCGTGCGCAAAGCATTTGTGACTTCCATAGGATCGACAAGAAAGCGTGACCAGTAAAGCAAGATTGTGTTACAATACAAATGAGTGCGAGAGAATAAAATCGTAATTTTGTGCATGCGTGAGAGACAGATAACATAGGTCAGGTCAGGACAGATAACATAGCATAATTTAGCTACCGTTGACGCTAACCTTCGAAAATCTATATAGCCAAGTTGCTTCCTTAACTCTAACATCAACCGATAAAGACGCGTGCTTTACAAACAAACAAGTGAATATATCGTACATTTTTTTCAACGCTCCAATACAACAGCGAACATGCCTTACTGCTGATCACAATAAAGCGCTCCGTGAGCTTGAATGAATGAAAGAAGAAGCCATTTTAAAGTCTGACAAGGGTTCCGGAGTGGTCATTCTCGACAAGTCAGAGGATCAATTCAGGATGAAAATAATACTGTCGGGAACCATGAAATGCAAGCAAGCAACAACTTTCGATACAGTCCGGTTGGTCAAAAAGCAATTGTGTCTTGAATTTCGGATCTCGGTTGGGTTACTCGAAACACAAATTACAGATATTAATGCTACATGGTTTCAGTCAGTTAACCGCGCGGACATACAAAATCCGGTCTCATACTCTAATCGGAGTTACTGACACACCTCTCATTACACACACGTGATTGGCGGCATTCGGTTTCGAATTTGCCTGTCACTGTGGCCAGCCACAGGACGTCTGCGCCTAACGATGGACCATGAGTGGCTTGCGCTGCACCACCCACAGTTCCATCCACACACCACATATCCAGTGTAAACCCGAAGGAATAAGACCGGGAGGCACGTGGATGGGAGCCAACTTTCATCATCGGAGTTGTCCCACACTCCTTTACAGGCAAACACAAGCAAGATGTATTTGGGGAATCAAGCGCACACAAGACGTTGGTTACACCATGGTCCACTCCACACTGGGTGCATGAAACCACTCTTCGAGCTTAGCACGGCCACAAGGAGCGTGCACCCCGCGTCCCCACCAGCAGCGACCAACTGTCTCCTAGAGCTAGCATGGACGAAGTAGTGGGTAATAGACAGGTAGGTACATTGTCAACATGCACATTAAGCGCAGCCACATCGGAGACGTCGAACAACAGCCAATCACTTGAAATGATATTATCAAATAAAATATAACTTTGTGTAGATTCGTCGTAGTTAGACACAGGCAGGCAACCACCAAACATCCAGGAAAGCGCTAGACGGCCGTTTCGTCCTATTGGGACCCGTCAGTAACGCGCACCCACAGAGTCCTGCCGGATTCGAACTCACGACCTTACCCTTGCGAGTCAGCGACTTATTTCACTGAGCCATAGGCGACGGCAGCGGACCGCCATGACTGTGATCTAACCGCGATATAGCGAGGCTCATCCTCCACTGTCTTGTATGTTATGAATGTGCAGAGGACAAGGCTGGCCCCCAGAGCAACGACTACCGTTCACTTGTACCTATCTGAATGCTGGCATGCCGCAGCTAGTTTGCGTGTCTGGTCCAAATCACATAACCCACTCGAACCTTAAACAGTACTTGTCCAAGTCTGCAGTCGATCGAGCTTGTGGTCCACTGTGGTCTTCCAGGGCGATAGTCTGACTAAAACACTCTGTCCTGGGGGAAATGGGCGTATTTGCGTCCTGTGCCGCTGATTGAAGGAAATTTCCATTTGCACGTTCCTCTCTTGCGGAACGATACGCTTTGGAAGCAGCATTGAATTCAGAGTACGGAGTTTCCTGCCCATAAGCGATTCTGTTGGGGATAACTGATTTGGCACCTGGGGATTCGGAGTTGATCTGTACTGTACAAGAAAAACATCCAATATCTCTTGGGTAGTTCCTTCTCCCCACATATTCAGCAGCGTCCGTTTAAAGGTATCAACAAAGCGCTCAGCTTGCCCTTCGGACTGCTTGTGGAACGGCGGCGATCATAGGTGTGTGATACCGTTCTGCGTACAGTATTCGGCGAAAGTCAAAGATGCGAAATGAGGGCCATTGTCAGTAACCAGGGTCTCTGGTATTCCATGTTAGGCGAAATGTCTTATCATTACGCCAATTGCTGTGCCACT